ATGAGAGAGAGAGAGAGAGAGAGAGAGAGAGAGTATGTTGGTATGTAATAGATACTATGGTAAAGTGATTATTATTCTTATGTAGGCTACATTGTTGGGTTATTAAATTGCAGGTGAGAGTGGGTGGGGCCGGGTTGGGGGGGAGGAGGGGCCCCGAGGTGATTGTTGCCCCAGGGCCCAACCTGGCTCTCAACGGCCCTGGTAAGCACTGTGCGTGTAGGCCCTATGTGTATTTATGTGTGGGAGAGATGATCATGATGTGTGAGGGAGTATTAATAGATTTATTGTCATTGTTTATATCATTTTGTATGTGTGTGTCGGTGTGTGTGCGTTCATTTGATTTATTGTGTGTGTGTGTGTTTTGTGTTTGTATATATATATATATGTTTGTGTGTGTGTGTGTGAGTGTATGTGTGTGTGTGTGTGTGTGATGAAACACAACACCAATGTACCAGTGTCCAGATAATAAAGGTTAATTGAATTTATCTTACTATTGCGCTACAAAAATATACTTTATGCTTTTTTTGGCAGTGGAAAAAGGCACAATTTTATTTAAGTGCTTAAAAACCTTTCTTCAAATTATCTGTTAAATGTGCGTCAGACTAAAGCAAAAGAAATCAAAATTAAAAAATAAATAAATTATCAACAGACTCCACCCTGAAAGTATTCATTTACTTCACCCACAGTGTCAAAGTGAAAGAAAAGATTCTCACCTTTATTATGGATGGACTTTTCACTGACAATTTCACTGACAATCCAGCACTGATTTATTGGACATCTGCTGGCTCTTTTATACGCTGACCACCCTCGTACGACCCGCCTCGGTGGCGTCAGGATATTTGCCTCTTAGTATCGATACCTTCGCATCCCACAATTAGGATGAAAAAGCACGTGAATATATGAATTTTGGGTTCAAGGGGAGGTTGTGGCAATCGTACAGAGGAAATGAGGATCTGACTATAATATGTTTGAATGTTTTAGTATGTGTTTGTGTGTGTGTGTGTGTGTGTGTGTGTGTGTGTGTGTGTGTGGGTGGGTGTGGGTGGGTGTGTGTGTAAGTAAAAAAGTGGTGGGGGAGGGGTATTCCCTTTCCTTCTCTCTTCTCTTTGGTGTGTCTGTTTTAGGTGCTTTGATATCTGCCTCTGTACGTCTGTTGTCTTTTTGAATACCTTCACCCCAGTCTGTGTGTCTGTCTGTCTCTATCAATCCCTCTCCCCCCCCTCTCTCTCTCTCTCTCTCTCTCTCTCTCTCTCTCTCTCTCTCTCTCTCCTTTCTTTGTTCTATCATCACGTCTCATAGACTCGTATTATTATACAGTGTACGAGAAACATTTGCAGACAAGTAATACCTGTACTTTCAGCTGTTTGAATTAATATTAGATTAATGTTCCATGTTTTCCAGTTCTGTATCTAATTAGCAACACATGTCGTCTTCAAGGAAAACATCAAAGATTTCTTTCGTTCCAACTAAATAAAAGTTTGAACTTAACTCTACTCTAAGCATTCCATAAGTAGCCTATAATCACATACTCTTGGCCATCAAAACCTCAGTATCAAACACAACAATAGAAATGTTTTGTACAAAAACCTGAACTGCTGCTCTTACGATAATAAATTAATCGAATTCTCAGTCTGGGAAAAGTAAAATTCGTGTCACTATGCGATGGAATCAGGCGCTCGTCAATTTTTGGGCATATGGAATTATTGGTATAATCTCAGAACCTGTTCATTTGCCTTGCTTGTAATTTAAAAAAATACCTAAATCTATCTATCTTGAATAGAAGTAGAGAAATTTGCTATTGAAAGAGGTGGTGGTCGCCTTGTGTCAGAGGTAAAATTATCTAGAAAATGGCCGCCAAAGTTTGGTGACTTCCAGAGGCTGTCGTGTCAATGGAAACTACAATTGTAATGTAACATTCAATGTTTGTGCTTTTGGTCAATGTTTTTCCGTGAAACCCATACTTACATGTGTTTTAAAGTTAATGTTAAAGGCGTCAAACCTAAAACACAAAAAGAGCTGGTAAAAATTGCCAAAACGGGCTGGAAAAAATGGGGATCCCTTCTATTATAACTATTTATTTGACTAGCTCCTGTTTTCTCCACGATGACTCACAATTTTGACTATTAGTCAAGAAAGTAGAAAGTACATCAGTACTACGACCTTGGTCTTCTCTTCTTTGTTCATGAGAGTTAAATGTATAATAATAGCAATAATATTTGGTCGCAGATGTCACATCTCAGAATTCGTTGTGATATGGTCGTTTTCCTGTGGTAGATCAGAGACTTCAAATCAATCCCATCTGTGACCACGGTCACTCAGTCCGTATAATCGACTTCCGATACTATGAACCGCTGTTGGTGTTAGAGACGACGCTTTCTTTGTGAAGATTTCTGGCCATTATTGGAAAAACTTCTATAGAGTAGACGTCCTACGGAAGCAAGTTGTCGCCACCAGGGATGTCCTTCGACTTGAATACATCCTTTTTAGCGCTCTTATAATCCTCGATACTTCTCTGCCCCC